TCACGGTCAACACTCCACAGTTCACGGGCACCACACTCTACAGTTCACGGTCAACACTCCACAGTTCACGGTCACCACACTCCACAGTTCAAGGTCAACACTCCACAGTTCAAGGTCACCACACTCCACAGTTCACGGTCACCACACTCCACAGTTCACGGTCACCACACTCTACAGTTCACGGTCACCACACTCTACAGTTCACGGTCACCACACTCCACAGTTCACGGTCACCACACTCCACAGTTCACGGTCACCACACTCTACAGTTCACGGTCACCACACTCCACAGTTCACGGTCACCACACTCCACAGTTCAAGGTCAACACTCCACAGTTCACGGTCACCACACTCCACAGTTCACGGTCACCACACTCTACAGTTCACGGTCACCACACTCCACAGTTCACGGTCACCACACTCCACAGTTCACGGTCACCACACTCCACAGTTCAAGGTCAACACTCCACAGTTCACGGTCACCACACTCCACAGTTCACGGTCACCACACTCCACAGTTCACGGTCACCACACTCCACAGTTCACGGTCACCACACTCCACAGTTCACGGTCAACACTACACAGTTCACGGTCACCACACTCCACAGTTCACGGTCACCACACTACACAGTTCACGGTCACCACACTACACAGTTCACGGTCACCACACTCCACAGTTCACGGTCACCACACTCCACAGTTCACGGTCAACACTCCACAGTTCACGGTCACCACACTACACAGTTCACGGTCACCACACTACACAGTTCACGGTCACCACACTACACAGTTCACGGTCACCACACTACACAGTTCACGGTCACCACACTCCACAGTTCAAGGTCAACACTCCACAGTTCACGGTCAACACTCCACAGTTCAAGGTCAACACTACACAGTTCACGGTCACCACACTACACAGTTCACGGTCACGACACTACACAGTTCACGGTCAACACTACACAGTTCACGGTCACCACACTATACAGTTCACGGTCAACACTACACAGTTCACGGTCACCACACTACACAGTTCACGGTCACCACACTACACAGTTCACGGTCACCACACTCCACAGTTCACGGTCACCACACTACACAGTTCACGGTCACACACCACAGTTCACGGTCACCACACTGCACAGTTCACGGTCACCACAGTTCACGGTCACGACACTACACAGTTCACGGTCACCACACTACACAGTTCACGGTCACCACACTCCACAGTTCACGGTCACGACACTCCACAGTTCACGGTCACGACACTCCACAGTTCACGGTCACGACACTCCACAGTTCACGGTCACGACACTCCACAGTTCACGGTCACCACACTCCACAGTTCACGGTCACCACACTCCACAGTTCACGGTCACCACACTCCACAGTTCACGGTCACCACACTACACAGTTCACGGTAACCACACTCCACAGTTCACGGTCACCACACTACACGGTTCACGGTCACCACACTACACAGTTCACGGTCACCACACTCCACAGTTCACGGTCACCACACTCCACAGTTCACGGTCACCACACTCCACAGTTCACGGTCAACACTCCACAGTTCACGGTCAACACTCCACAGTTCACGGTCAACACTCCACAGTTCACGGTCACACTCCACAGTTCACGGTCACCACACTACACAGTTCACGGTCACCACACTACACAGTTCACGGTCACCACACTACACAGTTCACGGTCACCACACTCCACAGTTCACGGTCACCACACTACACAGTTCACGGTCACCACACTACACAGTTCACGGTCACCACACTACACAGTTCACGGTCACCACACTACACAGTTCACGGTCACCACACTACACAGTTCACGGTCAACACTACACAGTTCACGGTCACCACACTACACAGTTCACGGTCAACACTCCACAGTTCACGGTCACCACACTACACAGTTCACGGTCACCACACTACACAGTTCACGGTCACCACACTACACAGTTCACGGTCACCACACTACACAGTTCACGGTCACCACACTACACAGTTCACGGTCACCACACTACACAGTTCACGGTCACCACACTACACAGTTCACGGTCACCACACTCCACAGTTCACGGTCACCACACTCCACAGTTCAAGGTCAACACTCCACAGTTCACGGTCACCACACTCCACAGTTCACGGTCACCACACTCCACAGTTCACGGTCACCACACTCCACAGTTCACGGTCACCACACTCCACAGATCACGGTCAACACTACACAGTTCACGGTCACCACACTCCACAGTTCACGGTCACCACACTACACAGTTCACGGTCACCACACTACACAGTTCACGGTCACCACACTCCACAGTTCACGGTCACCACACTCCACAGTTCACGGTCAACACTCCACAGTTCACGGTCACCACACTACACAGTTCACGGTCACCACACTACACAGTTCACGGTCACCACACTACACAGTTCACGGTCACCACACTACACAGTTCACGGTCACCACACTCCACAGTTCAAGGTCAACACTCCACAGTTCACGGTCAACACTCCACAGTTCAAGGTCAACACTACACAGTTCACGGTCACCACACTACACAGTTCACGGTCACGACACTACACAGTTCACGGTCAACACTACACAGTTCACGGTCACCACACTATACAGTTCACGGTCAACACTACACAGTTCACGGTCACCACACTACACAGTTCACGGTCACCACACTACACAGTCCACGGTCACCACACTCCACAGTTCACGGTCACCACACTACACAGTTCACGGTCACACACCACAGTTCACGGTCACCACACTACACAGTTCACGGTCACCACAGTTCACGGTCACGACACTACACAGTTCACGGTCACCACACTACACAGTTCACGGTCACCACACTCCACAGTTCACGGTCACGACACTCCACAGTTCACGGTCACGACACTCCACAGTTCACGGTCACCACACTCCACAGTTCACGGTCACCACACTCCACAGTTCACGGTCACCACACTCCACAGTTCACGGTCACCACACTACACAGTTCACGGTAACCACACTCCACAGTTCACGGTCACCACACTACACGGTTCACGGTCACCACACTACACAGTTCACGGTCACCACACTCCACAGTTCACGGTTACCACACTCCACAGTTCACGGTCACCACACTCCACAGTTCACGGTCAACACTCCACAGTTCACGGTCAACACTCCACAGTTCACGGTCAACACTCCACAGTTCACGGTCACACTCCACAGTTCACGGTCACCACACTACACAGTTCACGGTCACCACACTACACAGTTCACGGTCACCACACTACACAGTTCACGGTCACCACACTACACAGTTCACGGTCACCACACTACACAGTTCACGGTCACCACACTCCACAGTTCACGGTCACCACACTACACAGTTCACGGTCACCACACTACACAGTTCACGGTCACCACACTACACAGTTCACGGTCACCACACTACACAGTTCACGGTCACCACACTACACAGTTCACGGTCAACACTACACAGTTCACGGTCACCACACTACACAGTTCACGGTCAACACTCCACAGTTCACGGTCACCACACTACACAGTTCACGGTCACCACACTACACAGTTCACGGTCACCACACTACACAGTTCACGGTCACCCCACTACACAGTTCACGGTCACCACACTACACAGTTCACGGTCACCACACTACACAGTTCACGGTCACCACACTACACAGTTCACGGTCACCACACTACACAGTTCACGGTCACCACACTACACAGTTCACGGTCACACTCCACAGTTCACGGTCACCACACTACACAGTTCACGGTCAACACTCCACAGTTCACGGTCAACACTACACAGTTCACGGTCACCACACTACACAGTTCACGGTCACCACACTCCACAGTTCACGGTCACCACACTACACAGTTCACGGTCAACACTACACAGTTCACGGTCACAACACTACACAGTTCACGGTCACCACACTACACAGTTCACGGTCAACACTCCACAGTTCACGGTCACCACACTACACAGTTCACGGTCACCACACTCCACAGTTCACGGTCACCACACTACACAGTTCACGGTCACCACACTCCACAGTTCACGGTCACCACACTCCACAGTTCACGGTCACCACACTACACAGTTCACGGTCAACACTCCACAGTTCACGGTCACCACACTACACAGTTCACGGTCACCACACTACACAGTTCACGGTCACCACACTCCACAGTTCACGGTCACCACACTCCACAGTTCACGGTCACCACACTCCACAGTTCACGGTCACCACACTCCACAGTTCACGGTCACCACACTCCACAGTTCACGGTCACACTCCACAGTTCACGGTCACACTACACAGTTCACGGTCAACACACTCCACAGTTCACGGTCACCACACTACACAGTTCACGGTCACACTACACAGTTCACGGTCACACTCCACAGTTCACGGTCACACTACACAGTTCACGGTCAACACACTCCACAGTTCACGGTCACCACACTACACAGTTCACGGTCACACTACACAGTTCACGGTCAACACACTACACAGGCTACACTGCTTCATGAATATACGAGTGAAAATACACTTACCTATTATTTATATACAAATGTATCCTCTTTACTGAAGAGCTGCAGCTCTGACCTTTGAAGTCAGCGTGGAGGTAAGTGTGGGGAGAGGGGCGTGGGGAGAGGGGCGTGGGGAGAGGGGCGTGGGGGAGAGTGGGGTGGGGGAGAGTGGCGTGGGGGAGAGTGGCGTGGGGGAGAGTGGCGTGGGGAGAGTGGCGTGGGGAGAGTGGCGTGGGGGAGAGGGGCGTGGGGGAGAGGGGCGTGGGGAGAGTGGCGTGGGGGAGAGTGGCGTGGGGGAGAGTGGCGTGGGGGAGAGTGGGGTGGGGGAGAGTGGGGTGGGGGAGAGTGAGGTGGGGGAGAGTGGGGTGGGGGAGAGTGGCGTGGGGGAGAGGGGCGGGGGGAGAGTGGCGTGGGGGAGAGTGGCGTGGGGGAGAGTGGCGTGGGGGAGAGTGGCGTGGGGGAGAGGGGCGTGGGGGAGAGTGGCGTGGGGGAGAGTGGCGTGGGGGAGAGTGGCGTGGGGGAGAGTGGCGTGGGGGAGAGTGGCGTGGGGGAGAGTGGCGTGGGGGAGAGTGGCGTGGGGGAGAGTGGCGTGGGGGAGAGTGGCGTGGGGGAGAGTGGCGTGGGGGAGAGGGGCGTGGGGGAGAGGGGCGTGGGGGAGAGGGGCGTGGGGGAGAGGGGCGTGGGGGAGAGGGGCGTGGGGGAGAGGGGCGTGGGGGAGAGGGGCGTGGGGGAGAGGGGCGTGGGGGAGAGGGGCGTGGGGGAGAGGGGCGTGGGGGAGAGGGGCGTGGGGGAGAGGGGCGTGGGGGAGAGGGGCGTGGGGGAGAGTGGCGTGGGGGAGAGTGGCGTGGGGGAGAGGAGCGTGGGGGAGAGGGGCGTGGGGGAGAGGGGCGTGGGGAGAGTGAGGGTTGGAGGGAGGGGACGATGGTGTGGGTGATGGTGAGGGTGGATTGAAGGGGATGATGGTGAAGGAGAGGGGGAGAGCGGAGATGGTGATGGGGTCGTAAGGGAGGAAGCTGGAAGTTGTCACAGTACTCACAGTTCCGTGTTAAGTACAGATGTATCATGCACGGGTATAGTGAAGCTAATGTGTGGTCACGGAGTACCTTGTAGTGTGTAGTACTGGTCCTGTGTGTTCTCCAGACCAGTGTGTTCTCCAGACCAGTGTGTAGTACTGGTCCTGTGTGTTCTCCAGACCAGTGTGTTGTACTGGTCCTGTGTGTTCTTCAGACCAGTGTGTAGTACTGGTCCTGTGTGTTCTCCAGACCAGTGTGTAGTACTGGTCCTGTGTGTTCTCCAGACCAGTGTGTAGTACTGGTCCTGTGTGTTCTCCAGACCAGTGTGTAGTACTGGTCCTGTGTGTTCTCCAGACCAGTGTGTAGTACTGGTCCTGTGTGTTCTCCAGACCAGTGTGTAGTACTGGTCCTGTGTGTTCTCCAGACCAGTGTGTAGTACTGGTCCTGTGTGTTCTCCAGACCAGTGTGTAGTACTGGTCCTGTGTGTTCTCCAGACCAGTGTGTAGTACTGGTCCTGTGTGTTCTCCAGACCAGTGTGTAGTACTGGTCCTGTGTGTTCTCCAGACCAGTGTGTAGTACTGGTCCTGTGTGTTCTCCAGACCAGTGATTGTAAGTCCATCAAGATTGTAAGAATACCAGTAAGACCAGTATTAGAGATTGCAACATCGAATGTTGTTTTTTCTTTTGATGGTAAACTGTTTACGTAAATGGACGGGGTAGCAATGGGTCAGCTTTGGGCCCACATTATGCTCATGGTTTCTTATGTAATTTTGAAAACATGTCGCTGGATGGTTGTGCTGTAGAGTTCAAGACCTGTCACTTTTCGTCAGTGTGTTGATGACACCTTGCTTATCTTTATTGATCGTTCTTTATTGATCGTTCACACGTTATTGATCGTTCACACGTTGAGAGTTTTGTTAAGAAATTTAATTCAAACGTGACATTTACTTACGAAATTGAGGAAAATTCTAAAATTTCTTTCCTTGACTCATTAGTTATCAATATTGGAGGTCAATTTGTTATGTCAGCTAACCGTGTAACTCACATTCACTGGTTTGGGTTTGCATTACCTTAGATTTTGTCCAGAAATATATAAACTTAATACAATCAAAACTTTCATAACTAGCACTTTAAACTCTGATTTATAAATTATCCAGTATTAAAGTTAGGTTTTCATCAATATTTTGTTCGAAATGCGTTTCCTAGTATGACATTTTATCGAGTTCTGAGAAGAGTCTTAAATATTTGAACCTGGTTGTCGAGGTTCGCACAGTCACAAAAGACTTACATTATGTCAAATTACCGTATCTAGACATTGTAAAGTATTAGATTAGGAAAGATCTTTGGAATATTCTTGGACAGATATCCACAAGTAAGTTTCAAGTTCGTGTTTACTAACAATAACGCAATTGAAGACGACTTAAAATGTAGAGATCCATTACCCTTTGAACTGAGATCTGGTGTTGTTTATCTGTTTAAATGTTGGCACTGTAACTTTCGATATGTGGGAAATACCTCACAAACCCTACAACACCGTATGTGTGAACATATAGGTGTCTCTTACCGTACTGGTCTACGGTAAGAGACACTTAGGCTTACAAGGAGCCCGTAGTTGAGTTCGGTTATTCGCGATAACCTTGTTACTCTGATATTTGGATCACAGTTTTAAATGGAGGTGGGGTTTCCTCCTTTTCTCCCGTTTCTTTTCCGCTTCTGTTTTAGCGCACTGGTTTTAGTCTTGTTTAAATAATATTTTCTTGGTGGCGGATATAGATGCAATGTGTTAACTAGTGTGTCCCATTTTTCAACTACTTTTTAACCATTGTAATCGCTGTGGATTTTGCATGTAATGCGGCTGCTCTTCTTGGATGAATGTTGAGTTTGATGCGCAGGGCTTCAGTAGCTTCACATTGCAGTAAGTAGTGCAATAGTGGCGCCTCTGCTTCTGTTCCACAGATATGACACTCTTTAACTATTGGGTTTATTACCTCTCAGCAGCACTTGTAACCAAGTCTGAGTCTGTGTATGGCTACTGCAAAGTCTCCGGATGAGGCAGGAGAGGACATATTGGATTTCTACTGCTGGGAGGTTAGGGTCATACATATAGGTGAGGGGTGAGGAGTAAAGGTTTAATCTTTGTAGGTAAAGGTTATTGACCTGTGCCTCTTGCCTTGCTCACTGGCTACCGATGACGTCATCGAGCTGCTTCACTGGGAAAACTTCACATAGTGTCGCCATTCTCTCCTGTTCCTCTGAAGTTCCGCGGTGACTTCCTATTGCTTGCATCAATAGCTGTTCTGCATCATCCAGTGTTGGTTTACTCTGCAAAGAATGCTAAAACTTACCTTGATCTTCTGTAGGATCGAGTGAGGAGTATCTCTCATGTTGGGGCAGAACCTAAGTCATGGAGAATGTGGGGAGGGAAGAAGAGCAGGGTGAGGGGGGGGGGGAAGGTCCAGGTGCAGCTGGGGACCCCCTTTAATATATCTATAAACAGAATGTTTGTCCCTCCAAGGCTGGAGGCAAGATGCTTGGAGCTGGCCTCATTAAACATTGCAGGATTACTGGCGTTTTATAGAGAGCATCATAGGCTAGATTCCCCTCATGCCCCGCTGGAAGGGGAAATGGTCCCTATACATCCGTTCCTCAAAGTGTGAAACGGATGGGTGTGAAATGTTCTGCCCTGACTCCGTAGACTATAGCATTTGTTTAAATATTCGATGTACCTAATATGTTAATAAAAAAAAAAAAGTGTACAGTGTATATTGTTATTAACACAATAAAACGTATGATGAGATGACAGATTTGCATTTTAGGCACAACTTTTCAGGTGTGTGTGTATGAAGGGGGGTAACGCTGCGGGTGTGTGGAGGAAGAGGGACGGTGTATGTGTGTGAAGATGGGGAGGGTGTTGGTAGGGAGATATCAGGTGTGTGGGGAAGGTAGGGAGCGTGTGTGTTAGCGAGATGGGGAGGTTTGGTGTGAGGGGAGATAGTGAGGGGTGTGTGCGAGTGTGGGGAGGAGATGAAGAGGGTGTGCAGGTGTGCACAGTGATAAGGACAGTGTGTGTCGAAGATGGTTATCATGATGGGGGGGGGGGAACTGGCTGTTGACAGTTGGCTCAGACTGTTAGTCTATCAACAGTCAGCTTAGTCAGCCAGCTGCGTCACAGGGAACAAGCAGTCCAGCTGCGTCACAGGGAACAAGCAGTCCAGCTGCGTCACAGGGAACAAGCAGTCCAGCTGCGTCACAGGGAACAAGCAGGCCAGCTGCGTCACAGGGAACAAGCAGGCCAGCTGCGTCACAGGGAACAAGCAGTCCAGCTGCGTCACAGGGAACAAGCAGGCCAGCTGCGTCACAGGGAACAAGCAGTCCAGCTGCATCACAGGGAACAAGCAGTCCAGCTGCGTCACGAGGAACAAGCAGGCCAGCTGCGTCACGAGGAACAAGCAGTCCAGCTGCGTCACGAGGAACAAGCAGTCCAGCTGCGTCACGAGGAACAAGCGGTCCAGCTGCGTCACGAGGAACAAGCAGTCCAGCTGCGTCACGAGGAACAAGCGGTCCAGCTGCGTCACGAGGAACAAGCGGTCCAGCTGCGTCACGAGGAACAAGCGGTCCAGCTGCGTCACGAGGAACAAGCGGTCCAGCTGCGTCACGAGGAACAAGCGGTCCAGCTGCGTCACGAGGAACAAGCGGTCCAGCTGCGTCACGAGGAACAAGCGGTCCAGCTGCGTCACGAGGAACAAGCGGTCCAGCTGCGTCACGAGGAACAAGCGGTCCAGCTGCGTCACGAGGAACAAGCGGTCCAGCTGCGTCACGAGGAACAAGCGGTCCAGCTGCGTCACGAGGAACAAGCGGTCCAGCTGCGTCACGAGGAACAAGCGGTCCAGCTGCGTCACGAGGAACAAGCGGTCCAGCTGCGTCACGAGGAGCAAGCGGTCCAGCTGCGTCACGAGGAGCAAGCGGTCCAGCTGCGTCACGAGGAGCAAGCGGTCCAGCTGCGTCACGAGGAGCAAGCGGTCCAGCTGCGTCACGAGGAGCAAGCGGTCCAGCTGCGTCACGAGGAGCAAGCGGTCCAGCTGCGTCACGAGGAGCAAGCGGTCCAGCTGCGTCACGAGGAGCAAGCGGTCCAGCTGCGTCACGAGGAGCAAGCGGTCCAGCTGCGTCACGAGGAGCAAGCGGTCCAGCTGCGTCACGAGGAGCAAGCGGTCCAGCTGCGTCACGAGGAGCAAGCGGTCCAGCTGCGTCACGAGGAGCAAGCGGTCCAGCTGCGTCACGAGGAGCAAGCGGTCCAGCTGCGTCACGAGGAGCAAGCGGTCCAGCTGCGTCACGAGGAGCAAGCGGTCCAGCTGCGTCACGAGGAGCAAGCGGTCCAGCTGCGTCACGAGGAGCAAGCGGTCCAGCTGCGTCACGAGGAGCAAGCGGTCCAGCTGCGTCACGAGGAGCAAGCGGTCCAGCTGCGTCACGAGGAGCAAGCGGTCCAGCTGCGTCACGAGGAGCTAGCGGTCCAGCTGCGTCACGAGGAGCTAGCGGTCCAGCTGCGTCACGAGGAGCAAGCGGTCCAGCTGCGTCACGAGGAGCAAGCGGTCCAGCTGCGTCACGAGGAGCAAGCGGTCCAGCGGCGTCACGAGGAGCAAGCGGTCCAGCGGCGTCACGAGGAGCAAGCGGTCCAGCGGCGTCACGAGGAGCAAGCGGTCCAGCGGCGTCACGAGGAGCAAGCGGTCCAGCGGCGTCACGAGGAGCAAGCGGTCCAGCGGCGTCACGAGGAGCAAGCGGTCCAGCGGCGTCACGAGGAGCAAGCGGTCCAGCGGCGTCACGAGGAGCAAGCGGTCCAGCGGCGTCACGAGGAGCAAGCGGTCCAGCGGCGTCACGAGGAGCAAGCGGTCCAGCGGCGTCACGAGGAGCAAGCGGTCCAGCGGCGTCACGAGGAGCAAGCGGTCCAGCGGCGTCACGAGGAGCAAGCGGTCCAGCGGCGTCACGAGGAGCAAGCGGTCCAGCGGCGTCACGAGGAGCAAGCGGTCCAGCGGCGTCACGAGGAGCAAGCGGTCCAGCGGCGTCACGAGGAGCAAGCGGTCCAGCGGCGTCACGAGGAGCAAGCGGTCCAGCGGCGTCACGAGGAGCAAGCGGTCCAGCGGCGTCACGAGGAGCAAGCGGTCCAGCTGCGTCACGAGGAGCAAGCGGTCCAGCTGCGTCACGAGGAGCAAGCGGTCCAGCTGCGTCACGAGGCGCAAGCGGTCCAGCTGCGTCACGAGGAGCAAGCGGTCCAGCTGCGTCACGAGGAGCAAGCGGTCCAGCTGCGTCACGAGGCGCAAGCGGTCCAGCTGCGTCACGAGGCGCAAGCGGTCCAGCTGCGTCACGAGGCGCAAGCGGTCCAGCTGCGTCACGAGGAGCAAGGTGTAGTGTCCCCTTCACCGCCTTTAAGTGTATGTAGTGACTACACAATATTAGGAGGTCATCTCGGCCCGACGTTCATGTGTCTAATCTGTAATGTGTTCTGGTGGGCACTGAAGAGCTTCTGCTTCCTGCCCCGACCAGTCAGAACCAAGCAGTGTTGTACCTGTATTTCAATATATCTTCTGTGTAGCATTCATATTTCAGTATCTCTGGCCTGAAGAGACTGGCGGGATTCCATCCCTCTTCGGTGTTTCCCGGTAGCGGGCCGGAGGGGCACTTCAGATCCCTCGGTTGTCGTTGCTCCCCAACCAACAACGGGAAGAACATTTCAGTATCTTTGAATATGTCATTATGTTCTTCATGTGCGCCAGTCTTCACTTGAGGCTACAGTATTAGCAGGGGAAACACGCAAGATTAGGATGAATTAAACACATATTAACAGTATATATTCACAAGTATTTACATATCCGCCAGCACCACCCGATGTCCTATTCTCCTAATCCTTGATTGGCTTCCCGCCAATCCTTATACACTCCTAGTCTCCGGAAATCACTTTGACTTTCTTAAATTACTAGTCCAATGTTAAACATTTCACATTAGCACGTACATAATACTAACAATATCAACTCACAAATTCCTGCATAGGTTAGCCCTGCTACAATGAGAGTGGTGTTCCACTAGCCGGGGACATGTCACTCGGGCGAGATGTGTCCACGTCTCAGGTCAGCCTCCAGAACAGAGCTGATTCCATGCTTGAGCCAATATGCCATCTCTGACCCCACATCTGTGACATCCTCTCCGGACCTCCTCATTGTGCTTTTAAATACGCCAGCTTCTTATAATTGACTAAAGTTTTTGGGAGGTTTGGCATATACCAGCATCCCGGTATAGCCTCATCTGTTTACCACACTCGCCTCGGCATATACCAGCATCCCGGTATAGCCTCATCTGTTTACCACACTCGCCTCCAGACGTAGCCCATTCATACAAGCTCACATAAATGCTTCCACCGACCTCATATTTTGAGTCTAAATTATTCATATCTATTTGGGACACCTACCTTGATGGGTATCTCCATTCTCGCATCACATCCGATTTGACTCATGATTCAGGTGATGTCCAAGAATCTCTACTCACATATTTCACTGAGCATGGGTCACGTATACCCCTATGAATTACACTTGTGAACTAGAATATGTTAAGAGCTACACTTTAGACAATTGAACAGTTCAGATGGATGTTCTAAGCGGGTAGATTGCTTAGAAGTAAAGATGCCACTCATATACACAGTGAACGTGATGTACCTATGATCAAATGTTATGCCTGGGGGAATCTAGGAAAGTGAGTTCGGTATTACTGTATAGCCTCAATATGTTCTCATTGTTTACAAGTTAGCTATAATGTAGCCAAGCCAGGCGGGGATTTAGTTCAGTCTGCAAGTGACTCTCTGACACCCCGACCCTTCACGTTCCACACTACACCGCCCCTATCTACTCTGTGCCTACCCTAGTGGTAGAGTCTGACTCGTGACCCAGCAAGTAAAGTCCAAGTATAAACTGATCTCTCCCACTGATGAATATACATGTTAACCGTGTTTTTTTTTTGTATTAATGCATTAGATACATTTGCATTTGTGCAGCTACCCTAGACTGTATGAAGGGGAGTACAGTGTGTCAAAAAGTGAAGGAAGCTTCAGAAACCCTAGAGAACTGCGATGTTTCGTCTCACTTGTGAACCTAGTTGTAAGGCATTTCGACCTAGTCTTACATACCCAACTTAAATTCCCTCTTCTAGTGCATGCCTGCAGGGACGAATTTCCCAGCTTTAGCACGGGGATGATGCACATGTGTAACTCTTACCGAACCTCGGGAGTAGCAGCAGCTCGCAGAAGTGGGCTGAGGGCTCTGTGCCTCTGCTCTTGGTGCCACCTCAAGTGATGCTCAACCCAGATGCGTGTCCACAAGATCTTCTGCTCGCTGACACCCCAGCATACTGCAGCTGGCTACCCACCAGCCAACATGGGTGGCATGACCTCTTACAAACCAATTAATAATTTGTATTCTGCCCCATGAAGTGATACCGAGTGCCTCATAAGACTGTTAAAAATGTTATGAGAGTAATGAACTCTTGCCCAGCCAAATGCGTGTTGAAGGAGTGTGGTGACAACTTGGTTGGAAACCTCTGTGACGAAAGTGCTATGCTTGCTAGCACCTCCAGACGCTAGCTACGCCATCTTACTCCTCGCCCGCACACTGCCTGACACTCTGACATCACTGTTGACGTCTTACTGACCAAATAACACTGGGACAATTACCATTCTTGATGGGTCAGAATGGCTTCTTCTCAACTAGGTCAACGTGGCGATCAAGTAAACTTCCCAAAATGAAGAAATGGAGAAGATAATGATAAAGTCGACTGAAGGCAGTTCACCTGCATGGAAATTCCTACCTGACTTGGAACTCCGATGTCTCACCAGCCAACACGGGTGTTGCTGGTAAGGTGTCGTCAAGAGCACGAGTGAGAGGAGGTTTTTGCTGCCTCCCTGAAGCTTGGGCTCAGCAGCTAGGTGGTGGTCTTGTTCTTAATACAGGCGCCGCAGACGCCGCTCCTGCCCGCCTCCACGAGCACCGTCACTGTGAAAGGTTCCCAGTCAGTAAATGTGCCTTCTTCCTCACTCTGCTGTCTCCGGCTGGCTCAACATCAACACGGAAAGGGGAGGGAACTATCAGGATAAAGCGCCAAGCTATTACGACTATATAGCACATGGAAGGGTAAGGATTTTGGGATGGGACGGCGGAAAGGAATGGTCCCAAACCACTTGGACTCTCGAGGATTGAACGCCGACCTGCACGAAGCAAGACCGTCGCTCTACCGTCCAGCCGAAAACGAGAGACACCAGACACCAGTGAGCAGTGACCTCACTGCCTCGGCCTCCTCACTGGCCGGGCCGCGTGGCCTCCACTTGAGCAACATGTGGTGGTGGTCAGCTGATCCTGGGGCCCCCACCCTCACAGTGGCAACAGCTGGGTGGCAGACTGGGGGCCCCCACCCTCACAGTGGCAACAGCTGGGTGGCAGACTGGGGCCCCCACCCTCACAGTGGCAACAGCTGGGTGGCAGACTGGGGCCCCCACCCTCATAGTGGCAACAGCTGGGTGGCAGACTGGGGCCCCCCCACCCTCACAGTGGCAACAGCTGGGTGGCAGACTGGGGCCCCCACCCTCACAGTGGCAACAGCTGGGTGGCAGACTGGGGGCCCCACCCTCACAGTGGCAACAGCTGGGTGGCAGACTGGGGGCCCCACCCTCACAGTGGCAACAGCTGGGTGGCAGACTGGGGGCCCCACCCTCAGTGGCAACAGCTGGGTGGCAGACTGGGCCCCCACCCTCAGTGGCAACAGCTGGGTGGCAGACTGGGGCCCCCACCCTCACAGTGGCAACAGCTGGGTGGCAGACTGGGGGCCCCACCCTCACAGTGGCAACAGCTGGGTGGCAGACTGGGGGCCCCACCCTCACAGTGGTAACAGCTGGGTGGCAGACTGGGGGCCCCACCCTCAGTGGCAACAGCTGGGTGGCAGACTGGGGGCCCCACCCTCACAGTGGCAACAGCTGGGTGGCAGACTGGGGGCCCCACCCTCACAGTGGCAACAGCTGGGTGGCAGACTGGGGCCCCCACCCTCACAGTGGTAACAGCTGGGTGGCAGACTGGGGGCCCCACCCTCACAGTGGCAACAGCTGGGTGGCAGATTGGGGCCCCCACCCTCAGTGGAAACAGCTGGGTGGCAGACTGGGGGCCCCACCCTCACAGTGGCAACAGCTGGGTGGCAGATTGGGGCCCCCACCCTCACAGTGGCAACAGCTGGGTGGCAGACTGGGGGCCCCCACCCTCACAGTGGCAACAGCTGGGTGGCAGACTGGGGGCCCCCTCCCCCACAGTGGCAACAGCTGGGTGGCAGACTGGGCCCCCCACCCTCACAGTAGCAACAGCTGGGTGGCAGACTGGGCCCCCACCCTCACAGTGGCAATAGCTGGGTGGCAGACTGGGGGCCCCCACCCTCACAGTAGCAACAGCTGGGTGGCAGACTGGGCCCTCCACCCTCACAGTGGCAACAGCTGGGTGGCAGACTGGGGCCCCCCCACCCCCACCCTCAGTACCAACAGCTGGGTAGCAGACTGGGGCCCCCCCACCCCCACCCTCAGTACCAACAGCTGGGTGGCAGACTGGGCCCCCACCCTCACAGTAGCACCAGCTGGGTGGCAGACTGGGGGTCCCCACCCTCACAGTAGCAACAGCTGGGTGGCAGACTGGGGGCCCCACCCTCACAGTAGCACCAGCTGGGTGGCAGACTGGGGGCCCCACCCTCACAGTACCAACAGCTGGGTAGCAGACTGGGGCCCCCCCACCCCCACCCTCAGTACCAACAGCTGGGTAGCAGACTGGGGCCCCCCCACCCCCACCCTCAGTACCAACAGCTGGGTGGCAGACTGGGCCCCCACCCTCACAGTAGCACCAGCTGGGTGGCAGACTGGGGGTCCCCACCCTCACAGTAGCAACAGCTGGGTGGCAGACTGGGCCCCCACCCTCACAGTAGCACCAGCTGGGTGGCAGACTGGGGGTCCCCACCCTCACAGTAGCAACAGCTGGGTGGCAGACTGGGGGTCCCCACCCTCACAGTAGCAACAGCTGGGTGGCAGACTGGGCCCCCACCCTCACAGTACCAACAGCTGGGTAGCAGACTGGGGCCCCCACCCTCACTGGAGCAACAGCTGGGTGGCAGACTGGGGGCCCCACCCTCACAGTAGCAACAGCTTGGTGGCAGACTGGGGTCCCCACCCTCACAGTAGCAACAGCTGGGTGGCAGACTGGGGGCCCCACCCTCACAGTAGCAACAGCTGGGTAGCAGACTGGGGGCCCCCACCCCCACCCTCAGTACCAACAGCTGGGTAGCAGACTGGGGCCCCCCCACCCCCACCCTCAGTACCAACAGCTGGGTAGCAGACTGGGGCCCCCCCACCCCCACCCTCAGTACCAACAGCTGGGTGGCAGACTGGGGCCCCACCCTCACAGTAGCAACAGCTGGGTGGCAGACTGGGGCCCCCCCACCCTCACAGTAGCAACAGCTGGGTGGCAGACTGGGGGCCCCACCCTCACAGTAGCACCAGCTGGGTGGCAGACTGGGGGTCCCCACCCTCACAGTAGCAACAGCTGGGTGGCAGACTGGGGGTCCCCACCCTCACAGTAGCAACAGCTGGGTGGCAGACT